TCTTTCATGTGTTCAGCGAGCTTCTAATACTGTACAACACCAAAACAGTTTGAGGTTATACAAGTGCGTTGATGTACATCGTATACATAGATTGCGTATTATACTGCTGGTGTAGGTTTAATTAACGTCAATAGGAAAGCCATGTTTGATGTTCCGTCAGTTGTTACATGATTTACTTTTCGTGTAGTTCGTCACTTTCATACGATACTCCTTCCATATTGCCTCATCTCCATCAATGTAAAGTCTAATCCATTATTAATAGGCTAGATTATTGAACACAGCTAAGCTTTTGTAAACGTGGAATGTTAATTTCAAGGATATAACGTTACCATTGTTATTAACCATTCCTTACACTTACAAAATGACGCAGATTTGCATGAAAGACAATGGCGTGTGTATTAAACCTCTGTATATTAGCATAAACACAATTTTTCTTTACATAAACTTATAATTAGAAAACTAGATTAAATTACCAGAGTTATTCATCCATTTTTTGGCGCCAACTAATGTATATTGCTGTGAATATTTTTTTTGGAAACATTAGTTTAGTTTGTAATGAATTTGAGAGTGAAACACTAAGACGGCTTCTACATATGTCATTTCCTCCCATTTTATTGAAAACAAATGTTTACAAACTTTGAGTAATAAGTATTTGTTTGAAACTAATCAGAAGGCTAACATTGCAAACAAAATGATGAACTGTTTGTAAAGTGTCACCAAGTTTTAAGTAAAAACTTAAAACAAATCGAGAGAACTCCAAACTACTTTGTTATTTAAGTTTCAAGTTATGATATCCAAGACGTCAAAGTAAATATTTTTTATAGAAAGTAAGTGATGTCTCATTGTTCTCCCTTGCAACTTGACTTTACATAATACAATATACATGTTTTTGACGTATTAAAGAGATAAACAATATATATAGTATGTTACTTTGCGTTAAACATTTATATATATTTTTTGAAAAATAGAATTAATGCTAAAATTAATGTTACATTGTTTTTTTGTATTATAAACAGCTTGCTTGCTGGTACTTTTTGTTTGTTGAATGTCACACAAAACTACACGAGGGCTATCTGTGCTAGAACGTCCCTAATTTTGAAGTGATGGACTATAGTTACGGCAGCTTGTCAATACCAATTACTGCTAACTCTTGGGTTATTTTATACCAACGAATAGTGTGATTGACAGTCACCTTATAACGCCCTAACAATTGAAAGGGCGAGCACCTTCAATAATGGTATTCGAACCCGTGACGCACTCTAATATTCGTTTAAGCATTTAAATATTTTCAAAGAACCAAACACTTACTTAATTTTGAATTAAGATGAATTTTCGTATTGCAAGGTACAAAGAATTAAGCTGGATTTTCCGTATTGCAAGGTACAAAGAATTAAGCTGGATTTTCCGTATTGCAAGGTACAAAGCTCTACAAATTAAATCGGCGTCAAACATGGACAAAAGTAACTGTTGTATAAGAACTTAAAGTAAAACAAATTTTTATCCTTCGATCAAAACTATAGGTTGCTGCAATTCTTTAATGTCCCCAGTTTTGTGTAGTTTTATAAGCGTGAGAAATACCCTTCAATAAATATAATACCACTAACTTGAAGAAGCCCGGCATGGTTCGAATCCTACTACCACTAAACATGCTCGCCCTTTTAGCCGTGGAGACGTTATAAAGTGACGGTCAATCCAACAATTCGTTGGTAAAAGAGTAGCCCAAGATTTTCCAGAACTTTTCAATCGGCCAATTGACATGTATTATATAGTAGCCCAATTCGATAGAAACTAAACCGATTTGTAACGTGTGTTATGATTGGCTGAGATAAATCTGCCGAGCACTTTTAATTATGAGGCTCCACCAATGTTGAAACAAGAAGACACATGTTAGAAGCTCTGAGAGAGTACCGTGTTCCTCTCCTTTTATACAATCACAATTTTAAACTATTTTCGAAATTACAATTTTTGTTTTTCCAATTAATCTGTGTATGAGGTCACTTTAAACAACAAGTTAAACAGAATTAAGAAATTAAACAGCAAAACACTGTTTAACTTCTGATACCCAGTTCAACCTTTAGGTTTCGTTACTTCTCAGCAGCGGTTTTGAAGCAGCTAAACATCTGTTGTGACAACTTCATATAGTGAGAGGTAACATTTACACTTGTACTTACAACATAATCTTTGGTAATATCTGTACTTGTATGCTTCGTAAAGGTACTTAACATCGTTTATGAAGAGTCTCCGTTTCCTACGTTGACTACTTCTGTGAATAACAGAAGCAGTTTCACGTGCCCACTCAGAAGTTTGTCTCTTCCTTTGTTTGTGTTAGCGCAAAACTATACAATAGGGTGTATGCGCCCAGTACACTACAGGGTATCGAACACCAATTTCCTAAAATTACCGCTGACTCTATGGTGCTCCACATAGCTCTTTTGAAACACGGAAACTTGGGCTATTTTTCATATGGGATATTGTTGACCAGCCAAATCTTTAATTTCGTCACACTACTACTACTACTACTACTGGATATAATATGGCTGCCAGAACTTTTATAGGGTTTTATACGGAATGACCAACAATCGCAGTTGTAAACTATCAATACGTCGCTGTACAATGATCAGTTAATTTTCACGTGATACCGCGTGATGGTGGTAGTATTTACATTTTTATACCCATTTTCTCACCGTTTACATAATTATTTTTAATATTCTATAATTCAAAGAAACAGGTTAACCACTGATGTATACACCTTCGCCTCCCCTCCATTTATATAAATGAATCTTCAGCGTTTAGTTTTTGCTGTTTCTACGTGATTTTGATCAGCTAAACGACACCCGAATCAGCCAAGAAATCACTAAAAGTTGAATAAAACCAAAATATTTAACGTAACTAATTTGTTTGAAAAATTCACTTTTGAATGACATTCTTATATGTGCTTTAGTCATCATTCATAGTTTGAGCGTCAGTTTCAGTGCTAGTTTGTATTTTAGAATCATGTAATTTCACCTAATATTTTGCTATATATATGAATGTACTGTATTTCTATGTATGAATTATATATTCCTACAAAATCATTTGTTAGAAATCTCGATTGGTAGTTCAACAGTTACAAGAGCTTTTAGTTAAAAGCGATCGAATTTAAAACGGTTTGTTCTACATCACTAAATACAAAAAAAATAAAATTGTAATGAAACAAGATGCCATTATGAATGTTCAAGACGATGTCACGCTGCTTAACTCAGAGACAAATCTCACAACTTTCTATGCAACCATTATGTTTCTCATTATTGATCACACTATTTTCAATACATAAAAATGTGCAGGTAATTGCTGTTGCGCACTCTATTTGTGGTGTCTCTGTACCAGTAAAGTGGTAGATAAATACGAATTGACGTCTCGTATAATAAAATTCGAGTCTTAGGTAAAAATTCATTAACTCAGGTTTTCCAATGTAAATAAGGTTGGAATATATTTTGAAAAGCGTCAACTCATCACATTGCATATTTTAGTCCAAGTAAAAAAACAAAACAAAACATGTTTAGCGTCCGAAGTTTTCGGAAAAAGGAAGGAGGAGATCCTTTTTTTAAATGAACAGTTTGAAATAAAGTTTGCATCTTTTTTTTTTCCATCATTTTTGCTTGTTTTCAAAGGGTCTATGTCAAACATAAGTTTTCTTTGTATCTTTGTATGATCGAAAAACAATAGTTAAAAAAAACGGAAAAAAATCGTCAAAAAAGTGGAGGGTGGCGGCTGCACAAAAAAAAGAATGCAGGCGGGAATCTAAAAATGATTTTTTTACTTGGCTTTACAGATGTATTTTTCATGTTTTTGTATAATTATAAATTAATAAAAGTGCTTTCAGTTGAGTTGCTTGAGTCTGACTAAACAAATCACACTATAATCTAATTAAATTCATTGTCTTGGCCTACACGTTACTAGATGATATCAATATCAGCAAATAAAGTATATTTTCTTCCAAGTATTCCCCAGGTAAATAAGAAGAACCTGCTTTATACAAATCACTAAATTGTGATTTTTTTTTATTAAATATTTCTTGACTTTCATTTCACTATTTGTTATTTTCATCCACCTCAGCACATTTTAAGGATGAATATCAACATGTGGTGTAAATATTTTCAGTTACAATTCTGTGTTAATAGCACATTTTAAGGATGAATATCAACATGTGGTGTAAATATTTTCAGTTACAATTCTGTGTTAATAATGTCTGCCGTTATCCACTTCATCACATTTTAAGGATTAATATCAACACGTGGTGTAAACATTTTCAGTTACAATTCTGTGTTAATAGTATCTTTCTTTATCCACCTCAGCACATTTTAAGGATGAATATCAACATGTGGTGTAAATATTTTCAGTTACAATTCTGTGTTAATAGTGTCTGTCTTTATCCACCTCAGCACATTTTAAGAATGAATATCAACATGTGGTATAAATATTTTCAGTTACAATTCTGTGTTAATAGTATCCACCTCAGCACATTTTAAGGATGAATATCAACATGTTGTGTAAATATTTTCAGTTACAATTCAGTGTTAATAGTATCCACCTCAGCACATTTTAAGGATGAATATCAACATGTGGTGTAAATATTTTCAGTTACAATTCTGTGTTAATAGTGTCTGTCTTTATCCACCTCAGCACATTTTAAGGATGAATATCAACATGTTGTGTAAATATTTTCAGTTACAATTCAGTGTTAATAATGTCTGTCATTCTGGTGCAAAAAATACGATAGTAGCTTTACGATGAAATAACGGTAACAAACATTTTATTGATAAATTCAGTCTAAGGCAAAGTTTACTCTCCTTTCAGTTAAAACCAAAAGTGACATTTTCACAATGACAGGAAGACACTTAGTAATGGTATTCTAATGAAAACATAGATACTTATATCGTACGACAACTTTTGGTTAGACCACTTCAAAGAATGTAAATGATTAATAATTCCCCCATCACTGTTCTTTATATTAGGATTTAGGCTGTTAGACATTCACACAAGATAAAAGTTTTTCACTTGTGTTGGATACAAATCCAATAAACAACATTAAATTCGACAACAAATGAATAAATTCAATTACAACCACTCGTACTAACATCACAATTCAGTAAAATATTTAAAGTAAAAAAGTAGTTTTAATTGTATTTTATATAATCCTGGCACCTAGTCTATGACATTCACTTATTAGTGAATATAACACCCCCATTTTCAGTAATAATGGAGATAGTATTTGAAAAAAGACATCTTTAACGATATCAATCCAATATTTCGCACGGTAACATCCAAGATGTATTTACACTCACATGATATCAACAGAATTTAAATAACAGAGTTTTATATCATAAAAAATCATCGGTGAATTATTTTAATTGGTGTCAGACTTTACTGCAGTTCTCTACTGCCAGATAATGACAAAACAATGATATGAAGGAAGGGCACATACATCAAGAATTATTATGATCTGAAAAATGTAGTTTCTCAGTTTTTATGAAACACTGAAAAACCACAGAATGACAAAATTTGTCGTCTTTGTTAATATTGCCCTTATAGCCTCCGATTAAATACAATTTTACAATTATAACTATCATTCCGAACCGTTCTGAGCAGTTATAGACGTATAACGTATAGGGTATTGTTTAGCGACCCCAAGATCACACACCATTGTCGACATTTTAGTATAGATAAGTGCGTTTTCGAATAATAATTACTTCGTTAGGACTAAGCTGTACAATCAAATTAAATACTTCTCAATATACATAACTGAGAGCGTCAGCGAAATTCCAGTGACCATTATTTTGACAGAATGGAATTCTTTTATGACCAGGAATAGTTGCAGTTTATCAATTAGCTGGAATAGCCTGAATGTATTCATTCAAATGTTTAAGGCAGCTTCCTGGTAGCTGTTACAGATGTCTTATGATTACTGCTCAAGGTTACATCATCTAATAGAGTATTCTTTACTGTAGTTCCAGATAACATCAAAGTTGTTTTTACGATAAGACAAGTTTGGTTGAAAAATGTTGCAACGAATTAAAAATATCAATTGATACGAACTCTGAGCACTTATAGAAGCCTCATGTAAACACTCAGATAACAAACTGTCAAACAGCGAAAAGAATCAGAAAACAATTTAATAATAAATGTATTATCCCTAAAGTAAACACAACGAGACGTTTTCTAATACACTGTAATTTCTCCACACTTGCTGTAAGCCCACGAAACTGTGTTGTCGATTCAAGGATGAAGTTTTCAGTAAACTTGAAAACATGATAAAACATTCATGGATTTCGTTTCTTTAGGCATCTCTGTTTTCTCTGATATCCCCTTTTCTTTACTGCACTCATATTTTTCACGTTCTTAGATGCAGGGTCCAGCTGTAAAGCAACATGGTTCCCGCCAATTTGTGCCAGAAATCTGCATAAGGTGTCTGTATTTACTTTTTTACCTCTATTTTACGCAGCCCAATCGGGTTAAAGCATGTTCTGAAATACACTGAGACACATAATAAACTACAGAGATAAACATGTTATTTTTAAAACAGCCATAAAGTTGCAACAATGTCACACAAGTACAAGGTACAACTAAGAAGTACACTGCTTAGAGTTAGGTATACTTATAATTAAAAATGAATTATTTTATACATCGAAAAAAAATGTCTGTGTTATTTGGAACTTTAAATATATCTTAGTTGTATGTGTTTCAATAAATGTACAATTTTGGAAGTGTTTGACATGCAAAAAACTCCTGATAAAACTAAAACGATTTCATAATGTTTGTTTTCCAGCTAACTGCTACTCAAGAAACAGATATCAAGGAAACAAGGAAAGCACTAATCTAATAGAAAGTTTAAATGTAAACAAAAATAACTGTTAGTACTTTCGAGTGTTTAATATTTTTACTATACGAACGTTATACTTATAAAGACATTCATTCATTTCACATTGAAAAAATAAAAATGTACCAACCTAATTAAGACAAATCCAAACAGACAAATGCTGGCACTGCAGAAACTTTGTTCGCCCAACACTCTAACGTTTTCCAATATGTGACGTAGAAATCCTGTTATCTTGAGCAACTTGCATTCGTCATGTCATATTATGATCGCATGATGCTCGAAAGTCTTCTTATTACGAGTGATTGGAGGGCTCATACTTTAAATATTTCCCTCTTTCATCTTGTCTGGTTTATGAAACTCTCCTTAGAGAAATATGGCAGGTTCGTACTCCTACACATGTAGGGTTTCCTGATAACATTTCAAATCAAACACAAACATATAATAAAATCGTTAGCTCCTTTCTCCATAGGAAACCAATAAAATAACCTGGCACTCAAAGAAAATATTCGATCGAAAGGTTTATCTATGAATTTTTTTATTCATTTTTGACGACTCTGGCGATCAGTTTTAAACTTTAAAGATTTCTGTTATCATCGTAATATCCGCCTCTTGTGTTTCAATCTATCGAAAATCAGTACTTTCAAAAGACATTTGATGAACTACTGATAGATTTGTTGCTCATAGTACACTCGGGGCAGTTTATAAGATTTAGCCAATGAAACAGATGCTAATCTTAAAGGAGCGTTTGAAGGTATTGACTCTTATTTTACATTATCATTCTTCTATAGAGGGAAAACCAAACATTAAATTAACATCACTGCAATGAGGCACACTTATCACCGATGTTGTGTACTTCATACGGTAATATATATATATATGTTTGAGTATTTGTGAGTATGGTATTACGTTTGATCTATATACTCGAAAATTACTTCTGTTGATAGTTTACGAGTGATTAGATAAACATCTCGTATCTCTAGCCTTCATGGTATAACAATTTCCCGCGAGTATTCCATGCGGTGGTCTAGAAAGGGCTCGTGCTGATCTGAAAGTTTTGCTATCTCTGTATCTTCAGAAGTGTTCCGTGCAGTACGAAGACTCTCATCCTTTGCAGAACCACCATCAAGTGATGATATAACGGGACCACCGACGTAACTAAGAATTGTCGAGATATCCTCTTCGTGTAATAGAGGTGATGATATAACGGGACCACCGACGTAACTAAGAATTGTCGAGATATCCTCTTCGTGTAATAGAGGTTTCTTAGAACAGTTTTCCTGTACAAAAACAATAAACATAATGTTTTTAATCACCGTAATTGAAATAATGACTGTATCTTATTATAATAAACATTTGAAGAGTGGTTGTAGAATAAGATATACTTTTAGAGTATATTAGACATTAAATAACATTAGTTCTGAAGAATTAGACGTTACTTTTTGAAAATATTCAGCCAGGTTTTTCTTTATACTTTCCATTAAAGACGCCTTTTCTGCTAAATTGTTTCTCTCATGACCAAGTTCAGTTGTATTATTCGTAGTGTGTTTACCTACGATGTCGTTATAGAAATAACTACCTTATTCTAGCATTTGTGGAGAATTGAGAGTTATAGGTTGGCTTTTGCAGCTAATAATATTAATTAGGTCATTCAATAGAATTGATTTTGTAAATAAAGTGACAAAATTTCAAAATATGAATTTGTTTTAATTGACCTAGCTGTTACAGGAGATAATGAAAACGTTTAGTTCGGAGTAATTATTTCGTTTCCTGTTAGCCGTTGGTTAGTAAATACAGTAGAGGTATTGCTTTTGTTACTTAACACGATTTAGTGTATTTAACCTCTTTATCGAAAAATATGTAATTGTTTGTTCTGTGTTTAGGTTTTAATATGTAATTGTTTGTCCTGTGTTTATGTTTAATATATAATTGTTTGTTCTGTGTTTATGTTTTAATATGTAATTGTTTGTCCTGTGTTTATGTTTAATATGTAATTGTTTGTCCGATGTTTATGTTTAATACGTAATTGTTTGTTCTGTTTTTATGTTTTAGTATCTAATTGTTTGTCCTGTATTTGTGTTGTAATGTGTAATTGTTTCTCCTGTGTTTATGTTTGATATGTAATTGTTTGTCTTGTATTTATGTTTTAATATGTGTAATCGGCTGTCCTATGTTTATGTTTTGATGTATAATTGTTTGTCCTCTGTTTATCTTTAATAAGTAATTGTTTTAAGTAATTTAAACGCTGTTTAGAAACCAGCTTTCTATGTGAAAATCCCCATGAAGCAGTAAATACCTACTAACAAATGATCTCTTTCATTATAATAATGTATTTGTTTACGTATTAAAGGAAGACTTAATAAGAAGTTCTTTTATTTACTTTTAATTTCACGTTTTTATATATTATGAAAATTGCAAATGTGAATGAATTCTGTAGAAACTTTATTTTGAGATAATATTTTGACTACTTTGAATAAAATAATTATATTTTTCTATTTAAGGTAGTAAAATACATCAAGTCTTGTCAAGTAAGTGTTTAACTTACAACAATTTAGCTTATTACGCCTCAATACTACGTAAAATTGGTTTTTAAGAAATCATGTTTACTAAATGTACGTAGAAAACGCCTTTTAAGTCACATAGAAAACAACGTAAAATAAACTTAAATTAGTTACAAACAAATTTTAAATAAATACGTGAATGTAGTCATAATGTTCGTGTCCGTTTCGGCTTGCGTAGCAAATAGTAAATAATACGTTGACGGTGTTATAATTTACTGATACATTTCATCTTCTAAACTGAGGTTGCATTTTGTCCTAACACAGACGCCAATACTTTAGGAAAGCAAGTTATAAAACACCATAAGTTTCAAGATGAGAAAAATATCAATCATCAACTTCATACCAATTAAATGATTAATGGAGCTTTTGCTTTCAAAACCTTGACTTTGGAACAATGAATCTAGCCCTTGGTGTGAATCACAGCGAAATTCTCATAATATCCATCGAATACATGTATAATCACCTTGGAAATCGGACAAGAATGCACGTGGTTCTTCAAAGCCTCTAAAGATTCTTTATGAAGAGTGTAACTTGAAGCGCTGTGCTGATATGACGGAGATTATCGAAGATGGTATAATAAATCCAATAAAGATGATTGTATCTTCACACTAACTTAGATTTATTAAGACTTTCCTTGGAACACAATCGAATACCAGTCACTGTTGTCACGTAGAAGTATTGTGCTTTGTTAGACCATAGTCATTATTTCTACATTTCTCTGATGTGTTTCAGGAACTGTAATTTTCACACTTTTTACTAAACGTCTTCAAAGATACGATGCACTATTACTGTTTACATTACCCTCATTCTTCTAACATTGCAATGAAGGACACTTGTTAAATAATAGCCAAAAAATAGGTAAAATGTAAAACAATAGTATAAATGATGAAAATGGTTTTCCAGAAATAAAAGTAATAGTAACTTTCTTAAATATAACACTTTGTATAAGCAGTTTCTATCATATGGCCAAAACCTTTGAATTCTAGTCACAACTCACAACACTACGTAATAGTAAAGATAAATACAACCTCAGTTGCACGAGACAATCAAGTTCAATTCCCTTCTTTCGAATTGATTTGTCTTAGTAAAGAAATCCTTAGAGCTTTAAAGAAAAAAGTTTGATTTAGTATATTTATTACGTGCGTTATTTTTTATGGATATATATATAAAAAATTCTAAAATGGTAAGGATATGAAACACGGTGGCTTCTGATAGATATAGTTTACGTATAACAGAGGTTCACTTTGAGGCCGAGAGTGTGTTATAAGAGTGACCGTAAAAACCTGCTATTCGGTCTGAATAGGGCCCAAGAGTTGGCGGTGGGTGATGGTGATTGCCTCTAGTTTATCATCGCTATATTAGGTACGGCTAGGGTAAATAACCCTCGTGTATCTTTTCATACACTAGGCAAACAAATATACAAATAACACCGCCAGTTGCTGTTAGAAACATCGACATTTAAACTTAGTACAAAAACGGTTACTGAACTGAAAGTCTTTCGTAAAATAAAAACAACATCAAAACACTGTAGTTTCATTAAAAAAAGCTGTACATAATATATTCACTATAATTTGATATATGTGATATAATCGAATTTTTCGGGAACTAAAGAATGCAGCCAAATAATGTCATTATCGTCCCAATTCACTTTGTTAGATTTAGTGGTTGTATAGTTAACACATGCCTGCGATTGTTTTATTATTTTGAAATGATTACATGTTCTACAGTAATTCCTGTATGCCGAATTATAAAATGATATCCAATTTTCTCCATCATAAAACGTCATAACGCAATACATAAAAGAAAAACCACAACGCGTAATTTTGAGATTAAAAAACGTAGATTTCACACAAAAGGATCAGATGAGTAAGGATGCATTTTCTTTTGACAACAATGTTCTTCCCTTTTCTTCAGTTTGTCTGTATTTTTGTTAACAAACATAATAATAAAATATGTTCATTGTAGTAAACGAACTAATAATTTGATCTAAGTAAGAGTTTTGTAAAAAATTTTTCGTGATACAAAAAAAATTAATATTATTTTCGAAATCTGCGTAGTTGAATTATGGAAAATCCGTTATTAAAATCAAAACAACTTTTATGAAGTTTTAATTCGCAGGCCTGTGTTATTAGGCAGAAAGTTATGTGCGAAGTCTCATGAGCATTGTTTTCTATTTAACAAATATTTCCCCTCTTTATCGATTGCAACAATAAGGGTAAAGTGAGTTTCACATGAAATGGAAGGTTTGGAATGAAGATTATTAATATATCAACATATATCAGTTTAAATATTTGCGGCAAGCCAAAATTTTGAGCTTATCGTTACAATAGCTGAATCCACACTTTCATACTAGTAAATAAACTTGATTGTTTTTAAATGGCCCTTTTGTCAAAGCTCATAATAAATTATTAAGAGTAATATAAAGATGTTAATCACTTAGAACTTCTAATAAACAAGAATCTATATCTATTAATCATATAAAAATAATCAATCAAAATTAGCATAAGTACCAGTCTAGGCAATCCTGTATAATAAATTAACTAATGATGGTTGGGTAAGGTATTTTAAAACTAAAACTTTTGGTTGATAATATGATCGAAAATTGATATATTTTTGGAAACAAAATGTAACAACTGTTTCAGATGCAAGATATTTATACATTCTTATCAAGATGCTTCCATGATATATCTGTTCCACTGTGTCATACTTAAAGGAGCTGGAGAATGAAATGAGTATTCATACTATTTCATACGAAGATATACCGGTGAAGTAGCCTATTCTATGGATTTCTGTGCAATCAGAATGTACTGGGAAGCCGTCGTCTTTAGACACTAGATGACTCGTGGAAAGCAAGCATGGAAAGTGGCTGAACTTTATAAATCACAGCCTTACGATGGAGCCGTTCGTAGTGAAAACTACGCTGCAGAGTTATTGTCAAGATGTACAGTCGTCAGAAAGAACGCGACCGGACGTGAAGACATGGTCTGTAATGACTTGGTGAAGCTCATAAATCAGTAACGTAGGTACTGTAAATCTAGATTTGTTAGTCTATATTTGTGTTATAATAACTATAAAAGAATACATACTGACTGTTTTAACAAATAATATTTAATGACAATAACTATAAAGAAAATAAAATAAATTATTAATTTCAAAGCACCTATCGTTTACTCTTCAAATAATCAATTCCCAGTACACAAGCACTCACATAGTTTGTATCTTTAAAGTAGAGATAAATAAGAAAATTATTGAAATTATGATTGGCTGTCTAAAATTTGTAATGATTTTTTTTTTGTTTAAACGAAAAACTGCACAACCAGCGCTGTGCCCACAGCAGGGATTGATACACAACATTGAAGCATGGAGTGGAAGAAGAATCTAAGTAAACAACTACCTTACGTTTCTATGTTTAAATATTTATTTCATACAATAAACCTTTTTTGAAAGATGCATAGATGTTTTGTTTTCAGCACGTGGATGTTAGAATATTAAACATAAACGTAACGGCAAGAACACATAAAACAAATACAGGATTCCCCAATGAAATGTATTTTAATCAAGCCTACTGGTTCCTCACATGTCACTAAACGACATCAGTACTTAAGTGTAAAACTTTGATCATTTGTGATAAGCCTAATTCAAAGAGATTGGCCAATAATTTCAGTTGAAGTGAATGACAATTGAAATACAAGAGTAGACTATTTCATTTATTCGCTGCGTCAGTTTGCTGTTAGTTACAGCATTCGTTCTTATCGATTGTCCTTAAACACGTGTAGTAATGGGAGTAACGTATTCAGTTGGGATGTCAAATCCATCCGTTCTGATGTAATCTCTAAGAGTAATGCTGAGAAATGATGAAACATGAATACATTTTAGTCTATGTATAATTTTCTCTTGTAGATGCTATGACATAGTATTTCGATAAATCCGGAAAGCATAATCCACGTTGACGACCTCGTCTTAAATAGTTGAATCAATCTACTCACTTTTGGTCCAAAATATAAAAAATAATAATGAGTTTCTAACACATCTCTCTAGAATATTTTACGGTGTTCATGTTTCTTCACCCCAAAAATTGATATATTAGTACTTTCTGTTTCATATAAAATAATTCAACGGCAGTTTAAGTCTGTATTCCATTTCCATTATACATTGATTGGCCACATTACTAGCCCCCCCCCCCACAAACACACACGAATTTGGGCAAAACAATTGCAGTTTTTCAAGTGATTGGTTTATCTTATAACTGCGGAAATGTAGTTATGTTATGACAAGTTTCCAAGACAGTCAATGCATAAAAACAAAGATATTTGTGATTTTGAAAGGACATGGCAGCAAAAGGCCTCCAAGCAGATCTGTAATTATTACATATTGTTTTATTTAATGAATTTTAAAAGTTGTAAGAGGCCTGTAGTAATATCTTCATGCATAAAATAAAGTTTTGTCCTTCGTCTAAATGCTTCTCTAAAAACAAAAACCTTCAACCCATACAGCCGATTTAATTAACTTTCCTTACAATTCACAAGAAATTGACAGAAACAAATTCATCCGCTTAAGTTCTTATCGTAACAACAAAAAAAGGCCACACATTTAACTTTGATCCTAGTGTACTTACACCAAATTGATTCGATTAATGTTCACTGTAATATACAAAAAAAAGAAAATTATACGAATACCACTTGAAATGATTAAACGCATATATATATATACTGTAGATATGCATGTCAATTTATGGACACAGACAAGACCAATTATAATATCTCTTACCTCCTTTATGAACGTGATTGAATAGAGAAACCACAGAAAAGAAAGCCACTTTAAAAAACTATATTTTTCTTCACAATTCGAATATGTAATAGGTAAATAAATTGTCCATAACAATTGGGATGAGTAATTAATGATTGTGTTTCGAAACTAAATTGAATATGAAGTTCAGTATATATATATAACATATTGTTAATGTGTTTTTTATTTCGTTTTTTTTAAGCGGAGTTCTCATATACAGACTAAATGGTCGATTTATTGAATGGAAACGCAACTGCTATTAGATTTAAAACACTTCTATTCACGCTTTGTAATTTAATTTCTCACACTTTCTTTTCGACTGTGTTTTTATGACTCATTAAGTTTTTAATTTTCACATGTAGCTTTAGTTATCAGTTAGAAAAAATGTACAACTGTTAAGAAATAACTAAAACGGTATAAACGGGTTTAATTTTGTACCATGCTGACAGAAAATTACCATTCTATTTCAAACATTCGGAGCCTTGAAGCGTATCATTATTGTTTTTACAGTGTTATCTAATATTTGAAGCGTATCATTATTGTTTTTACAGTGTTATATAATATTTGAAGCGTATCATTGTTGTTTTTACAGTGTTATATAATATTTGAAGCGTATCATTGTTGTTTTTACAGTGTTATCTAATATTTGAAGCGTATCATTATTGTTTTTACAGTGTTATCTAATATTTGAAGCGTATCATTATTGTAATACTGTAAAAACAATAATGATACGCTTCAAATATTATATAATACTGTAAAAATATAATATTTGAAGCGTATCATTATTGTTTTAACACATTATTGTTTATGGTGTTATTATATGTTTTCATAAAGTATTTTAACACTAGACAACGATTTTGATCAATAATATAATACAACTAACTATATTATAATTCATATCTTACTTTATATTTTAACGTAATTGTAAAAGAACATGGTGTTATTATATGTTTTAATAAGGTATTTTAACACTAGACAACGATTTTGATCAATGATATAATACAACTAAATATATTATAATTCATATCTTACTTTATTTGGCATTGAACCTTTTTTAAGTAGATCAGGACAATCATATCTTTCTTCCAGCGGAACACCATCTTTCAGCCTACGGATTTCTTCGTCTCCTAAAATATAGATAAATCTTTTATCTATCAACCTACGCCATTTTAAGCTCGTCTTTTATTTGAACTTATCCAGTACAAGGTACACTAAAGCAACGGATACAAACAGATCATCGCCAAGATTAGACGTCAGTTGCTAAGGTTTCTTTTTAAGATCAACAACAACGATCAATATAGAGCAGTAAAAAAAAAAGAGACTACCATAAAAGTAATAATACGTTTATAACTACAGAAATATCCTTTCGACCATATTTCATACATATACAGGATGCAAAGATAGTGAAAAATTTATGTTTCACTTCTTATGTAACATTTTTAGGTATAAACCAATTATATAAATTATTCTATCGATGAAACTGAAAGTCTTGTGAGATACGGATACTTTTTTACAATAGAATATCTCTACATCAACAAATATGGTATGGTCTTCTATAAAATGGAAAAATAAAGATGCTGGCTTATTAAAAGAAAAATATTTCTATGCTCCTGCTGAGACAAAAACCAAAGATAAAACGAAGGAGTAATTAATATAAGCAGCAAGACAACTGTTTTTAGAAGCAGAGTGTTTCAGAGTAATTAAGGAGTAATTAATATAAGCAGCAAGACAACTGTTTTTAGAAGCAGAGTGTTTCAGAGTAATTAAGGAGTAATTAATATA